CTCTCTCTCTCTCTCTCTCTCTCTCTCTCTCTCTCTCTCTCTCTCTCTCTCTCTCTCTCTCTGGAATCGGGCCAAATCAAGATCGGCCAGTGACCGATCCCAAGTTAGTCAGTCGATTTTTTAAAAATCTGCTGATCTTTTAAAAGCTTTCCATAACATTAAAAAAACCTTGATAGAAAATGGAAAAAAAAAAAAAAGGTGGAGAAAGAGAAGAACCAAGCACGAACAAGATGATGGTGTATTGTTTAATTGAATGGCAACCTAAATTTTTGCATGTACTTAAAAAAACAAAATGTCCCATTTTCATCATTACAAATATATCTATATCGTGCACTTAAAAAAAACATAATTAAAAAAATCAGGCGACATTATCATGCGCTTATCAAAAAGAAGAATCAATTTCATCAAAAAATAATTTTATCAAAAATAATAATTTTATTAAGCAAAATAAAAAACACTTTCCATGTTCATCAAAAAAAGTAATTTTATTAAAAATAATCATAATTCTATTAAAATAATTTTATTAAGCAAAATAGAAAAACGCTTCCCATATTCATCAAAAAACAAAATTTTATTAAAAATCATAATTCTATTAAAAATAATTTTTCTAAGCAAAATAGAAAAACACTTCCCATATGCATCAAAAAATATAATTTTATTAAACAAAATATCTTTTTTTAAAAAAATCAACTTTTCAAAAATCCCAAAAAATCAAGCAACATTTCGAAGAAGAAACGACTCTCAATGTTTGGATAATCGAACAAATAAACATTCATGCATTGTAAAGGCTTCGATCATCTTTCAAATGCACCAAATATCATAAAAAATATCAGGTATTTTTAATTTAATTTAAAAAAAGGTGAAAATTTCAGATCTATGAAATTTTCATGATATGATGCAACGAAAAAATTCATATAAAAATATTTACTCAATCATAAATAACCATACCAATTTTATTTGAGATATGAAGCCTCAATTATCAAAATTCACAACTCAATTTAGTAAAAAATACCCAATAAATAGATAGAAAATATGCGCTTTTGGGTAAAACATAGGTTCTCTAAGCAACAGCTTTTGGAGCAAAAATAAACCCTTTATTTTTCGTTTTCTGAGGAAATTAGGACTTGAATCTAGTAAATAATTCGAATATAAATCAAACCCCTCAAATTTCTTCAAGAATCATTACGTATTGAGGATATTATTGAAAGAATGCCGGAAATTTTAAAAAACTTAAAAAATCCACCATTTCAATCCACGAGACTCATCTTTTTTCAATGTTTAAATCCAAATTACTTGTTTTATATTCATTATATAGTGATTTATACCATTAAAACACATAAAAAAAACCAAAAAGATGGCCTCAAACCGAATAAAAAAAGGTGAAAATTTGGATTCATGGTTTTCGTGCTACATATAACAGTCCCTATTTCAAAATAACGCCATTATTTATACATAACCGTTATTTACTTAAAAACGCCGTTATATAGTCGAACCGGTCCAGTTAGCTAAAAACCGACCAACAAAAATACGCTTCTGAGTTTCTTTTTGGCCGTGCAGTCTCTATGTTATGTGAACATGAGGCAGCATTAACGGTTCGACCCTAACCGGTCGGTTTTGGACTTGAAATTTCTCTGAGACATGAGTTAGACTACTGGTACTACAAAATCGGGCCTTACCGGACTAGGAACCCTAGTGATTTCGAACTAATCGGCCGGTTCCGGTTCAAACCGGCTAGTTTTGATACCAATGCTCCATACAACTCAATGTAACCTTGGGCCATGCCCAACCATGCTGGGGCATCGCCCGGGGCTATATTAATAATTTGGGCGCAGCCTAGCTATAAGTTTGAGGCCGAAGTAGGACCTTCATTGGACTACCTCATTGACAACCCTAAAGAATACAAATAGGCCTTTAACTTATTTTTTACTACTTTTCTTATCTCTTTTGTTTTTACCAGTTGCCTCAAAACTCGGATCGGGGCAAAAGGTTACCCACATATCTATGTCTAATTACTAGATCAGCTATTCAAATTGGATTTAGTATGGTCCAAAACTCCAAATCAATTATCTAAACAAAATTTAAAAATAAATAACCTAAAATAAAAATTAAAATGGTTTTTTTTGGGAGGGGGGGCGGTGGAGGGAATTTAAGGGCATTAAAAAAAACATTAAACATTAAATATTCTTAGAAAGAAAAAGAAAAATATATATATAAAAAGAGAGACTTTAGAGGAGAACCATGTCTGGACCCATACTACCTCGAAACGGTTCATTCGCGAGCATTTGAATCAGTGAGACAGATTGAAAATCATCACGTTTAAAAACATTAAATGAAGTATTTTAGCAACTGGGAATTATTTTACTAATTTAGACGATTTGATTTTTAGAGGAAAGTATGCAAGTCAAAAGATTTCTCTCGATAAGGTTCCAAACATATCTTTGATTAATAAAGTCTCTCTTTAATGGTGGGTTTGTTTTTCTGAAAGTATTATTTCAAAAAGTATTTTTTTAGATTTTTAAAAAGTTTCGCGTTTGTTTTACACTTTCCATCTAAAGTTCAAAAATTAATCTTTCAACAAAGATTCCCATTCATTTGTTAAAAAGTGAAAGGATAAGTTCTTAGGAGGGGGTAGGAATTGAATCTTGCATAACTTTTTGTTGATCACTATTCACTATGCGTAATAAAAATACATAATATTAGTATTATTAATATATATATATATAAGATATAAAAAATATAAATGTATAATAATATTATATATTATATATAATATATAATAAATACATACTATATAATATAAATTACATTAATAACATAAAAATATAAAATATAGTATTTATATTATTATATTGTAAATAATATATAAACATAACTTATTTATATTACACTAAATATTATATATAATACTTATATTATTATATTATATTATAAATATAAAATATATATAATATTTATATTATTATGTTATGTATAATGTATAAATATCTTATCTATATTATAATAAATATTATATTATATATTATATATAATACAAATATACATTAATAAAATATATAAAATACATTATATTGTGTATTATATTATGTTTTATATATATATATATATATATATATATATTATCAAACACAATACTTAGAACTTATTTAAATATTTCATAACAAAACATTGAACTTTCGAAAAGATTTAAAACATTTAACTTTCCAAAAGATATCTTTTAGAAAAACAAATGTACTCTAAAAAAGATCTTAACTAAAAGGATGAAGTTTCTATAAATCCTAAGCTTTATGAAAACAAAATAAAGCCTCACCTCAAATCCTCGTCTGGAACACACTTTTGGCAATATAAATCTCCACGATGGCTCTCAAATCAATTTCCAACACCGACAATAAATTTTGGAAGGAAAAAAATATATAGGTGTTACATATCTCTGAACAGTTATTTTAGGGCGAAATGGATGGTTTAGATAATTTATTATAATATACATCATTTTTAGAGCTTGAAATCTTAATTTTTTTCACAACCATAATATTCAAGTCGGGATGATCAATGTAAAGGTTTTTCAATGCTTGAATTGCAATTGTTGATGAATTATAAGGTAAGGAAAAGGTTTCTATGCGGCGAAGCCCATATGTAGAAAAGTAGGAGATGGATCTTAGGACTTAATTTTTAAGGACATTTAATATCTAACGTGGATATCATAGATATGAAAAAATAAATAAATTTTGAAAACTAAAAATAACAATTCTAGTAAAAAAAATTTTTCTATTGTTTTTAAATAAAGCACCTGCTTGCATCCTATCTTAAAGGTGGATGTTTTACACTTTTCTGGACCGCATGTGTAGAAATGCAGTCGAGCCCGCATGAAACAATTTTCCTTACGTATTTGATAGGACTGCAGCACTCATCAAACCATTTTCCTAACTTGATTCCCCTGCCTTCCAAAATACCAAGCCTACATTCAATGTTTTTCTCACTCTTCACAGAAGTCACTATACTCTCTCTCATCCAATGTTTTTCTCACTCTTCCCAAAAGTCACCATTCTCTCTCTCTCTCTCTCTAGAATTACAGGCTGAAAAAGTCAGAAGAAAGCCCCTCTTTCAAAATTGTATGAGCATTAGACCTTTTCATTTGTTATTAATTCATGGATGGGTATAATACTATTTAATTCTAGCATGCAATAAATAAGATTGGGGGATCTGGTGCTATTCCATTATTTTAATCCTTGTCAATGACTCTCGAGATTTGCAGATATCTTGGAATCTCAGCAACCCAAAAACTTTGACATTTTGTAATACTCAGCAAAAGCCATTAGAGAGAGAAACGACGAGCTTTCTCTCTCTAGGAGTTCTACTGCATCACTCCACCTCTGAGACACTAATTCATAGCTTTCTCTCTCTAGGATTCTCTCTCTAGGAGTTCTACTGCATCACTCCACCTCTGAGAATGTTTACTGAATTACTGTCCACCTCTCAAGGTGCTTTCTTTATCATATTCCTCCTTCTATTCAAGTGGGTGTTTCTCCCACCTCTCTCTCTCTCTAGAGATTGCTCTGGTGAGGAGAGAGAAAATTATGTAGGCCTAGGGAGAGAGCATCTCGGGAATGTTCCTTTCTCTCTCTACATCTCTCTAGGGTTTGTTAATCTATTGGTCAGGAGACAGTGATTCCCGGCCACCATGTGGGCTGGGTCGGCGTAAATGTCTTCCTTCTCTCTCTAGTTTTGTCTCCATCACACTCTCTCTTCTCTCTTTTTCTCTCCTCTCTCTCTCTCTAGACGAGGAAGAGAATCCATTTCCAGTTACCTCCATCAATGACCCAAACAGTGTTTCTATCACTAGGAATTGTCTCTATCAAGGGGTCTCTTTCTCTACCAAACGGTCACCTTCCTTCTCTCTCTTCTTCTCTCTAGACTCTTCTCTTGAGCTGGACCCCCTGTTATTTAGTTGCCACCCATCCATCACAGTCCCTGCTCGAGTTGTGATTTTGCAGACACTTTTGATTATGGTGGGCACCCTCTGTGATTAATTAAGTATATGGGGTGTGCTTTAATCGTTGTTTTGCGCCTAACTTTGTGGTTTTCTGGTTTTTCTCTCTCTAGGAAGAAGGTCAGGGATCAGATTCATGGCCAGGATATGTGGACTGGAGAAACAAACCAGCAAAGAGATCAGTTCATGGCGGTATATCCGCTGCTGCATTCGTTTTAGGTACCCCTTCTCTCTCTCTATGAAACTCTTGATTGCACTGCACCATCAAGTTATGCAGTGATTTCTGGCTTATAAGAACTTAAAATGGAGTTATAGAACTATTTGAACTCACCATGAGAACTTTGAAGCATGCATATGGAGAACCATAAATGGTTAGAGAGAGAAAGTCAAGTTAGAGCGAGAAACTAATAGCTAGATTATTTCAGAGAGAGAGAATCTGCAAATATGGCCGCAGAGGCTATAGATGCAGTATGTTACGAAGGAAGTATAGACTTGTGGCCTAAATCACTTTAGAGAGAGAAAACTACTAATAGAAACAGTTCAGAGAGAGAAAACTAGTGAGCAATCGAAGGATTTTTAGTGATTTGCAGTTTGTAAATGGTGGTGCAGTTGTGGAAGTTTTAGAGAACCTGGCTTTTTTGGCGAATGCGAGCAATTTGGTGTTATATTTGGTGAGATTTATGCATTTCTCGCCCTCGAAAGCGGCGAATGCAGTGACGAATTTCATGGGAACTGCTTTTCTTCTCGCTCTGCTCGGTGGCTTCTTATCCGATGCATTCTTCACCACCTATCTTATATACCTTATCAGTGCACTCATTGAGTTCCTGGTAATCTCTCTCTCTAAGACTCTTTCTCTCTCTAAACCTCTATCTCTCTCTCTCTAAACCTCTACCTCTACCTCTCTCTCTAAACCTCTATCTCTCTCTCTAAAACTCTCTCTGCGACGTGCTGGAGACCTCTTGCTCCGTCTTGCTCAAACTTGCTGTAAACCTCCCTCTCTCTCTCTCTCTATGTGAATTCATGATAACGTCTCTCTCACTATTCTGTGACTTATTGGTAAGTCCTTTGTCTCTCTTTCTCTCTCTAAGTTCTTTGTGAACTCTGTCTGAGGTCTTGGTAACCTCTCTCTCTCTCTCTCTCTGATACTTG